GAATAAAAATTCAATCTGTAATTAATTATCGAGATATAGATATATTTTTGTATAGCCCGTGGTTACGAAGCAATAATAAAAATGTCAGCACAAGATATGCTAACAGAATGTGGTCTAAATTTTATTAATAAAGTAGAAATATCGGAAGACTAGTTAAAGCTATCAAAACTTTATCCTGAAAAATATTTGAGACGCTATATATTAATACCTAGTTATGATGTTAAAAACAAAGAGCAGTGGGAAAACTTCATATTCCGTGTTAAAAATAATTTATACATGAGAAAACAAATAGCATATAGTTCAGAATTTATAGAATTTAAAAAACAATTAGTAAAAACTGCAATAATAAAAGTATAATAAAAATTCTCTATTATCAGATATAATTATATTTACCTAATGTAGGAAAACAAGTCAGCCTACGCATCTGTCATATTTAATTTTTTCGGCAAAGATATATAATACATAATATAAATTATCATCATGAAAGCGAAAATAGTCAAAGCTAAAGTAGAGGGTCAAAAAGTTAATTGTTGTCTTGAACCAGGTTTTCTTGAACTATTTATGTGTAGTGATAAACTCCTCAAGAAAATCGTAGGCAAAATTAGTAGAAAACTGACTCCCGAAGAAAAAGATAGTAAATTTGTCAGAGAAGAAACCACAGCTCCACTTGGATTGGCCATAATCCCACTTACTTTTACTTCTAATATAAAAAATAATCTCCATCTTAGTAATAAGAAATCTATTACAATTCCGACCAAAGTGCTTGTAGAGAAATATAGCCCTAAAATGCCTAATTATATCCTACTTGGTAATAATTAGTTCTATGGCCGCAAATATGATGATGATGAGCTCCAAACATACATACCTGAAATTATAACTGATGCAGAAGATGCTTGGGTAAGAACAACTCTCCGTATTAAAAATCTCACCGAGAAGAAAGGGAGGAGGGTTATAGTGTGTGTTACTAAAAATAGTGTTGATGAATTCTACGACTTCGCTTCTTCTAACTCTGATGATGCAGAGCATCGAACCTTTGGTTCTTCTGATACTTCTGATTCAAGTGATTCTTTCACATCTAGTTCAGAATCGGATGTTAAGCACGTGTGTAAGGCTGTTATACGTCCGAAACGATGTTACAGAGTAAAAAAGAAAAAACAATTATTGAGTTATATAAAGTGATACCACATGATAATTTTTCGTTTAACGAATTATATTTGCCTAATGTAGGAAAACAAGTCAGCCTACCCATCTGCCATATATATTTTTTTGGTTAGCTCCGGAGACAAAGGTAATAATTACATAAATCATGATAAAAAATATTTTTAGTATAATATCCAAAATGATAGAAAATTTTAATGATCATGTAGAACGAAAAGTGAAAAATGAGTTTAAATATCTCAAAGCTTATATTTTAGATCTGGAATACGGAATGCGTATGCTCCATAAAAAGCTAGAGAATATTGTTGAACAATGTAATTATATGTATTCAGATAATTATGATTATAGTAGCAATACACCAGATGAGATGGAATCTCGAAGCAAAGCTTCCTCAAATTGTTCTGATATTTCACCCTATGTTGTTACAGTAAAAAAGATACATGAGTCTAAAGACCTCGGCTCTATCCGTTCTAAACCAAAAAAGAAGCGAAATAAGAACAAGGTATATAATTGTACAAAGGTATATAAAGAATTTTTATAACTTATTTCAGAGAAATGACACTTCATGCCTTGACACATAAATTAATCGTATAATAAACCGCGATCACGATATTCTGATTTTTATTGCATGTGTTTGGGCATACTTTACAGGTTAGATTCACATGTTTTTTTTTTTTGTGGGACTCAATTTCTCACATATACTCTCATTCGTCGTTTTTTATTAATTTTCATGTTTTTCGCCGATCATGAAACTCGACTTTCCCTTTTTGATTCTGCTATAATAAAAACTATACCTCTTACTTGCGATATTTCGGATGTAATACCATTTCGAGTTGGGCATATAAATTTTGAACGACTTATGAGTGTATATAGATGAGAAAAGGTGGGTGTTTTGGCCATGTGAAAACTTGTCTTTATATGAGTTATGTCTACCAATATCTCATGCCTCGAAACTTTCGCCCTACATATTCTTACAAGCACATCTCCGGAAAAAATCCTAGACGAAAGTAGTATCCCCGAGCTAGACCCATGTTCGTTATGCAATAAAGAGCTTTTTTTGTTTGAAATAAAAAAGCCATTCACCATACTCGTCTGTGGACATATATACCACCGTGACTGCATCGAAAATTATATCAAGAAACGTTCAATATGCCCAAAGCCTGATTGCAAGAAAGAAGTGGAGTCTACGATTAATAGCATCCCCGGAAGTCAGAATACCAACGATTTGATGGATATATCCCCGACATTATTTAAAGATACTAAGATACATGAAAGCACATCTCAAAAGCGTACTAATGATTATATATTATTTCCGGATAAACCATCCAACAAAAAAGTAAAGAAGCAGGTTAAAAAAGAAGATTCACCTATATTAAAAAAACTTATCAACGAATTGACTACCGCTGATTCTGAGGATACCTCTGCATTTGGCATAACATATACTGAAAATGCTACGAATTTTTTACAACTCAATGATAATATTACCCAAGTAGAATCAAAAAATGAAAGCACAAATCAGGAACTCATTCAGTGTTACTATTCATTTGGGGATACTTTATCAAAACGCTTATATTATTATAAAAGTTTGAAACATGGGGAGTTAGCATCTCAAGCATTAGTTAACGAAGAGGTTTGGGAACAAATTGGTGAAAAAATTTCTAATGATACTCTTCGCAAAAGAACTGAAAAGGCACGAAAAATATATGCTCTTTTTAATAGTATTTTTAATGATAGAGGGAAGGAAATGATAAAGCAAGTTAAAACATTTTCGGCATCATCTATTTCGAAGTTGAGTTGGGAAGATATCGAATATGTAATAACCAAGATAATTCGCTTTAATCAATAGCGTGAGCCTTTTTTCTTCGACTCTCAGAATGTTTGGTTGTCACGTGTTTACTGCGCCTGTGAACTCGAGTTCACAGTTATATGATAATGTATAAATGTCAGTAATAAATTTTTTATTTATAACGCAAAAAAACATTAATAAAGTAATAAGTATTTCGTTTATTTTAAAGTTCAGGTTTGTGAAATGTAAGCAATGCAATAAATCGTATACTAGCGAAGCTAGCACGGCTAAAGTTATGCATATGACATAGAGCCCCAAGGGAGCAACCCCATGTGATCGCGGAAAATGGTTTACGTGTCATTGGCCGTGCCAGCTCTGCTGATACAAAAGCAGATTTTATTCTACATATTGAATTTCTAATTATACGATATAGCGGTATTATAAAATTGATAATCTATGCCTTCGTTGTTATCTCAATTCCAATTTCATTTGGAGAGAACATTTGTATAAATTGTGTGTAGACTCCTTCCCATTCTTTCATAAGCTCATCAAGCCATGTAGTACTTAAACCACTCTTTACTATACTGCAATGTAATAATTCTTCACCGACTAGCCTTTCCCGATCTGTTAAAAATTTATGATATTTTCTAGGGTCTTCCTTCCTCTTTATTCCACCTTGATAACAGCGTATATCTCTCTTCAGGTTATCACGGAAGCATCTCCCAGCCTATCTATTTTTCTCAGCCTCAGTAATGACCGAAAATTTCTCAGAATCCATTCCATGTTCAATGGCATATTGATGTAAGCTGGCCTCTAGCTGATAAAGGTGGGTTTTGTTTGGTATTCTTCCCTCAGTTTCTGGTAAACTCTGTACAACAATAATAACTTTCTTTTGATCAATGCAAAAAGGACAATTAAGATAATAGTAATCATTTTTACCTAGACAGCTCCAGTCACCCCATATTCCTAAACATGTATGTACCTCTTTACATATTGGGCATTTAGCTTCTGAATTGGTATATTTAAATACATCCTGATGCCATGCATTCGAATTAATGTAAGACAAGAAAGGGAAGCTTTTATATACCACATCAAGGATTATACTTTTTTCTTCCAGAAACTTAGAAATCTTGATAACACAATCATGTGAAAGGTAATTATCAGTCTTTTCAATTTGTGGGTGTTCGGGAGTTTCAGACATTATCCAGGGATCGAGTTCAGTTTTATTCTTATATCTATTATAGAACCTAGAATGAGTTTTATCTGACAAAATGCTTGATAATTCTAATTTGGCTTCCCACTCCAAATATTCGGGAGTTAATGTTTTATTGGTATTTGTTTGTATATCCATGTTCCCGTTTTATATAATTCTATCCCTTTAAATTAATCGCGGGAATAACTAACAAAAAAATAATTTACATCAGAGAAACTTTAAAAACTTAAGTAATAATTCATTAGTGATGTGAAGTAAAAATATGAAAAAATGGAATCTGAGAAAAATGGCTAACTACATAGAACGTTCCTATTACTATCTCCATAGCCAGCTACATTACTATTTTTTACTAGTGGAATTTGAGAATTTCCTATAACCAGGAGAGAGCTTTATCCAAGGCAGGAATAGTTTTAGAACAACGTTAATATATGAGTAAAAATATATTTTCTATACATGTATTACGGATTATCACTTAAGTGAATTATATTAGTATAAGATAGTGGAACTAGTGTCATTGACACTTAAGGTTTATGCTGTTATCTCGATTTTAATTCCACGCTGTTCACATTTAATAAAATAGGATCCATTTTTATATCTGCCTTCTATATCTTTATCCTTATAATGATCTGACTTGCATAGCGGGCATAAAGATTCATCTGTAATCCCATAATAATCATTGTTTCCATCTTTACCTTCCCAATATAAATCAGGATATTGTTCTTCCATTTTTTTATGGAAATAGGTACGGTTATGAGCCAGATTAGATGGCATACTTATCTTGATCTCCAGTAAAGATTTATCTCTCTCACCTAAAAACTCGTCTTTATCCTCAGAGGATTCCGAGTTAGAATCTGAAAAGCCATCAAATACATTTATAGTTTCTGAAAATTCATCATTCTCCTTTACTATATCTTCCGAATTAGAGGTATGAGATGATTGGATAGAGGGAGTGGTTATAGTACTTACCTCTGTTTTAATTTCTTCGCATACCTCAGTTTCGGATAAATCATCTAAAGAATCGCTAATATCCTGATCATTGATAAATTCTATGTCAGGCTTTTTAGTAAAATGATCTATAATAACTTGGATTTGTACATTAGTAAATCTTGAAATAGTATCTGCAGTATAAGTTTTGATGTACTGAATCTTATCCACTCCTATTTTTTCAAATAAATTATAAACTCTTAAAGCTTTTTGTATTTGCTTGCATAAGTTTTCGCACTTTGTGTTAAGGAGTTGTTGAATAATAAAATCATATACTTGACCTTTTGCTTTTTTCTCCCCAACATTATTATTAGCCATGAAATCTTTAACCATACCTTTGGACTTTTTAGCGTAGAAACATCAACATAATATTTCTTCTTGATTGGCTTTAATAGCGTCTTTTTCTGCATCACATGCATTTTGATATAAACAAATAATATCTTGATCTGAAGCGATTTCAGTCACATGATTTTGACGAACATTGTTCTGTGAAATTTCAGTTATATTATTCTGATCTTTAATGGATGTTGATATCTCTTGTATTAAACCTTGCTCTTTTTTCTGCTCGGGATAGATACTAGATTTAATATTAGATATGTAAGTGTCCTTTTTTGGAGAATTTTCGGTAGGTGACTCACATTGAAGATTTTTCTCCCTATTTCTTTCTTTTATTTCGTTGAGAATCTGTTCATTATGCCTTTCAACCAGAAAATCATCCATTTCCTTATCTTCTGATGATTTAGGCTTTATGCATACGGATAATTCAGTCGAATGCGAATTGGAGACTTGAGACTTCATCTCTTCTTGATGTTCATCAGAATTTGTAGCGTTGTCGGTTATATCGGATGCTGAAGTATCACTTTCTCTTTGAGAAAGATTTATCTCTTCAGTAGTATTGTTAGAATTTATTTCAGGAGAAATAGATAAATCCTTAGGAATCGATTCAGTAACCTGCACATTCTTTTCATCGGGATGGTTTTCAATAGGTGATAATGTCTCACGGAGTGAGGATGCTATCGCATCAGATGATTGATTGGTAATCGCTGATAATTCTGAATGAATGACATGGATATATCAGCGTGAAGTTCTGAAATATTAGGTGTAATTTTTTTCTGTTTAATCTCTTCGATATCACGTTCTGATTTTGTTACTCTACTCTTAAGTTCAGAATTCTCTATCCGACTTCGCTTCTCATTCTCAGCACTTTCCTTTGTGAGCCGTTCTAATTCTATTATTCTAGCCATAAGCAAATCTTTCTCCCTTCTAAGTCCGGGAATCTCAGCATTCTCCCGTCTAAGTTTATCATTCTCAGCTACAAGTTTGGAAATTTGTTCATTTAATGAAGAGACAGCATCTTGACTTACCAACTCATCAATTTTAGATTGTTTATTTGCCATTTTTTATATAAAATACTGATATATTCAATTCTTTATCACGGATATATAAATGCCAGAGCGGAGTTCATTGTTTCACAATAGAAATTTCAGAGAACAAATGTTCGTTAAAAAATGCCAAGAAAAATTTTCGATTAAAAATATATGGTATTGCGAAACAATGAGGTATTTCCTCTAGTACAGATCGATATCCATATATTGAGGTGCGTAAAAGCAATTACTCTGTAATAATAAATCCTGAAATACGCATATACCATGCAAAAGTAAACGCGATTATATATGCGAGAAATTTTAACAATCATACAAAAAGTAAATATGGGATGAGAGAAATTAGAGTAATCAATAACTTTATTTATAAAATAATAATCAAAATTAGCTATGGATTAATTTCAATTTCGAGGGAGGTATATTGCTTATATATAATATTACTATATTGAAATGTAAGTTGCTTGTTTAAAATTTAACAAGTGAGGTAATGTCGGTAAGAATTTCCACTATAGTATTCCCATAATGAAAGGGCTCCAAAGCTTCGTGAATCAGACTAGCACGACAATTACTACAGTACATGTTACCTTTTCTTCGGTCGTGTTGAGGCCTTCCATTTAAAATGAACAGAGCGAGATTAAAATTATAATCAAACTATAATTAATAAAGAGCTGGATTTATTTGATTCCTACCATCCCCAAAAGCCAAACGAATCTTCCCGAGAAATACCGCATGACTTGCATCTGGCCTCAAAATTTCCCCGGATTTTTGCATTACCACCAAATAACCATCCGGTAGTTGTCCAGCTTCTTACACGAAAGTATTCCCAGTGAGCACATGAACCACGAATAAATATACCACCATCATGACCACTGTTTGAGGCAAATCGACCAGAGACATTGGCTTTACAGTCTTTGCAAACCATTTGGACATCGATTTGAACCATGTTTCATAAGAAGAGGATTGTAACTGTTTCAAGACAGAATTGTTTTAAATTAACATTAGAAAGTAGCAAACCCTTATTTATATTGTCATTTTCGGCAAATGCTATTATGTCCATTTATAGTACCATTATCACGGAATTCAATATTTTTAACAAAGAAATATGGCGTCTCGTGCGACCTAATTTTTTATGAAAATAGAAACACCATTTGACTTGGTGCATAATGCAAACATTGCCACAAGAAAGACGCCCACCTCCAACTTATGAGGAAGTGTCATCAATGCTGAGTTATCGTGAATCTCCAGCTGGCCAAAGAGATCGATCAGCATCCCCACCCGCAGAGTTCCTAGTAGAAGGGGTGAAGTTAGTAATAATGCAAGTAATATTGCAAATGAGACACGAAGTGACATTTCTCCCGAAATAAATCCGGGCCATAATGATTCCAGTAATTTATCATCCAATTTGTTAAATATTACCGATCCCATAATTCTACGAACAGACTTGCATCCAATAAATCCTTACCACGTAACGAAAGTGATATTAGTATGCAGGTTGTGGGTCCACTCTCTTATATCTATAAACGAGGAAGAAAGATAAAGTTTATCGGTGTAATATATAATTATTTGATGCATTACTCCGTAATAGCGGAGCTAGTGACAAAGATACATTACGCAAAAAATAACACATGATAAATTGTACGTTCCTCTAATCGAAAATCTTTATTAATGCCATGCAATATAATCACAATTTTCATCACCCATTTTCGTACCCCGATGCAATTAACCAGCGAGTAAAAATTATTCTGGAAAATAAACACGTGATTTGGGCGAACTTTTTTTGATGATAAGTTCGCTGAAATTTTGCCAAGAAAAATTATTCCGGAAAATTACACATATACATGATTTGAAGAATCACCTAAAGGCTTACACAAAAAATAACACATGATACTTGTACGTTCCTCTAATTGAAAATCTTTATTAATAGCGGAGCTAGTGTTAAAGACACATAAATATATAGGATAAAATACATGATAAAATACAGGATATCTGACCTTTTAGGGGCACCTCTTTGAGGCATATATGAATAAAAAATTAATCATATTGTGGTGTAGTGACAGTGGGACTTGGGGAAGTATTTCGGGGTGGATGTGAAACAGCCTGCTTCATTGCTTGTTTAAGCAAATTCTTATTTACAATTATAATATTTCCCAAGGTCAGTAACAATCTTATTAAGGCTTTTGTACGCAACCCTACTTCCGAAGTTAATGGAATTTCTGCATGATCTAGATGGAAGTATCTTGGTATCCCACTTGCGTCGTTAACAAGGACATTTAAATATATTTTCTCACCGGCTACTTGGATCCCGACCACACCAAATTGGTTGCAAGTAGGTCTACATGCAGAACTTATATAGCTACTTCCATCCAATAATTCTCGCTATAATTTTATCTCATCATCTGTTTTTTTAGTAGGACTGCAGACAATGCGAGAACTTTCTACATATAAAAATTCCACCAACTTTCCATTACACCTTTCTAGAGCCATAATATCAGGCTTTTTTCCCATTTTTACTTTACCTGTTCCATCATTTCTACGTGCCTTATTTGCTAAGCTTTGACGTTCAGCCGTGCTCAAACAAATATATCCATTTGACAAGTCACTTAAACTAGCTCAAAGTAATGACATAATCACATCCGTAATATAAGTCCCTTCACTTTGTACACTACTCGTGGCCCTTGTGCTAAAAGCCAGATTGCACCAGATATCTCCTCTAAATTTACAGATATAAATTAGCGAAGGATTTAGTAAAACTAAAGATATAAATGATTATTAGTTACTTACAATACGCCAAGTATCCATTCTGCTGTTTTTAATAATTCGAACTCATCCTCCTTCCATAATTTATCGTGCACGATATTTCTAATATAGTTGGGATTATCTATCTCATCAAAATTTTCTACAAATTCATCAACCCTAGAAGAAATTAATCTAGGAACTTCACACTTTATATTCTCTCAAGGTTCCTAGATAATAATAGGAATTATTGTTATTTTTGGAGAAAAAAAGTAACACATACTATATATTGTTACAATGTAATGAGGTTCTTCCTCTATCTTTATCATAAAAGTACGTCTCTGTCTGTGACTTAGATTTTTAATAATTTCCGAATCGTCACTAAGAACAGTACTTGCAATTGGATCTCTCCAGGTAAGTTCAGAAACATTCAATCCCCCATCGATATTTTTCTTAAGAGCTCCGTAAAGAGATTCATCAGCATTGGTTATAGGTGAACCAAGTTTCGTTTTTAATATTCTAACATTTTGCTCAATTTCTTCTCATGTATAAATCAGTGGTCGATTCTTGAGCTATATTCAATGCTTTCAATGCTTTCAAACTAATAATAGTGTTATATCCACTTTCCATCTACAGCAAATACAATAAGTTAGTTATGTGATTACAATAATTTATCCATCATATAAAGCTATCCCTGAGAAATTTATATATCTTTAACAGTAGGCTCTACTCATAATATTCAATAATTTGATTATTTCCAACGCGTGAGTTTATAACTCATAAATGTATATATTAATCTTTTAGCTAAAATAACCACGCATGGCCAAGAAGGAGCAGAAACCTTCGATAATATGAGAAAATAATCCTGATAATATCGCTCTTCCAAGCTGACATTCCTCAGACTCTAGCTATGATCAGCTAAAAGAGTTGCTAATACATCTGCTGTATTTCATCATAACTTAAAAAGTTGTTTTGGTCTAATCAATTATAAAAATAACGCAACTTACTTCTAGTAATATATTCACCACTTTAGTTCTTCGTCTATTATTTTCTATCTTTTGTGAAGCAGAGCGTACCGCACATTCAGTTAAAGTTCTAATAGTGTTATATTCACCCACTTCATCGCCATCCATTGTTAAGTAGAAAATGGATCTACTATAAATAGCTTCCAAAGGGGCTTCCAACAGAAATAATTCGATTTTTACTGTTAATTGAGCCATGTCAAAAATAATAATAATTTTAATATAGAGTTACAACTAAAGCTTTCACCAACACTGCTATACTGTCCTTTTAACACTTCTTATTATTCCCTTTTTTAGTATCTCGACTTATGGATTAAGAAAGAAGTCGGTATATGCACGATAACAAAGAACGCACAGGGTGCAGAGTTTACAACTCATATGTATATGTTCCATAGTCAGTTACTTGAATATAGGTAAAAGTCCACTATACTTTCCTTTTATCGCTTTTTGTCATTTTCTTTCATATCGCATTGAAGAATAGATTAGGAAAAAGATAACGTATGCACAAGAACAAAGGGTATGTATATATCTCGAGTCAACTATTCAAACCAAGTTATCAATATCCCTATTTGTAAAAGTACAACATATCAGATTAGTTTTGCGATATAAAAATAGTGGAGTAGTAAAGCTAATAAAAATATAAAAATGATGTTATATATCTGTTTTTGAGATATTTTTCACATAGATATGCAGGGTGTAAGGGGAGGACTAATTAAATTCAGTAATCGGTGTATTGCGTAACCTGATGATACATGCAGATTTTATTATATTTGAATTCTTTCTATAGCACATATCACATGATAGGTTAATTATTTTAGCGGAAATGACAAATTACACAAGTTATTTAATCAACTATAATCACTGGTGCAAGTGGTAAATCCTCAAATCTTTTTTCAATATGAGCTAAAACCTTTCTCAATAATATCTTAGATGGAGGTACATCTATCAACACTTTCTTAGCAACACCCTCGGTACATATATATACCCACATTATATGGATCAACTCCCCTCCTTTATAATTATGTCCATAATGTTGCAAAAATCGATACTCATTCATTACAATATCTATCATCTCCTCTTGACCTGTTATCAATTCTTAAAAAAGCTATTTATCCTCATCTGTAATTGGGAGGTAAATTTCCTCAGGCTCAAAGTCTATATATTGAGATAGTTTTTCACGTAATTCAAACATTATATAATAAACACATAATAATTATTAGTAAAAATGCTTTGTTATCGAAATCTGCTCATGTTAAAATTCTCACAACTATTTACCAGTGTAATTTATGAACCAGTTTTGGTACTTATATCTGAGAATGGAGCATATGTCTGAAATACATTTTTATTCATGCAGTAATCACAGGTCATTTGTTGATTTCATATGCTCTGGTCAATTATCATTCGTAATCGTACATAACTAGTTAATATATATACAATTTATTTTATAACGGAGTTAGTGTCATCTAGAAGCTAGTTCGCACCAAGACACATATAAATACCAACACCCACCTTTTCGCAATAACTGCTTAAAGCCAGAAAAAGTCAAATAAGTCAAATACTTCAAATCTAGCTCAGATAATATTTCCGACATATAACTTCTGAAACTATCTACAGCTCTAAAGAGATATGTCTCGTATTTCTCGGTATAAGATCAGGGGTACTTCTTTGAAGCATATCGACAAATAGAAAATAACTTTGCATTGGATCTGAGTTAGAAAGATTAACAATGTTCTCAACAGTAGATAGTTTCGATTCTGCACCTTTATATATCGAAACAACTTCTTTATCTTTTAAGCGTAGACTTAAATCAACAAAAATTGAATCGCATATTCTATAGTATATAGTTATTAAATCTAATAGGTCTAAATTCCCTAAATACGATATAAATCACATAATCTCTAAAAACACTTAATCGTTAAATATGGTCTATACAGATGGTTGTCCAGTTTTAAATGATATTGAGTGGAGAGATAATTGTCAATTCCCAGTGATCCGTAAAGGTGAAACTCCATCTGATTGGATGAAACGAATCTGGGATCAGTTAATGAATTATAGAAAAAATAATTATTTAGTTGAATCTCATAAGCAATATATGGTTGCTAGGAAGATGCTATATTTATGGGAAGGTGATCTTGGCAATGCTTTTGAAGTGAATATTGCAATATGTCATAGTTGTGATCAGCTTGTTTATGTTGATCGAAAATGCATTTATGGAGAATATCACGGATCTACAATTGAAAAGCATTGGAGTACAACATGTACAGGAAATGCTTATTGTGATATTAGTTATAAAGACTATATGGAACTTAAAAGCAGATCTGAAGCCAGTAACTCCTACTTCGAAAAAGAAGCGATTCGTCATTATGAATTGTGGATGCAGAATGCTATTAGAAAAGTTAAACGTACAAGAGAAATCGGTAAAAAAATCAGAGCTGTAAAGGTAATACAAGAAAAATGGTTAGAGTATTTCTACAGACCATCAGGCCTCTGTGCTTTAGAATTAGCATTACATTACCAATTATTATGGGCCGTTCGAGAAGAAATGCGTCAAATTAACAATGTATAATTCATATATCTATTTATTCGATTTATTAATGTATAACTTATTCATGTATTTTTTCTCGATGTATATTTCAACGGAGTAGGCACAAGGTGCCATAATTTTCATAATAAATTGCGCAGTGAAATCAATCAACAAAAATTAAAATTACTTGCAAGTCTGAAGTCCCATTAATAAGTATAG